ACAAGTTCTCTTCACTGATTTCCCTGATTCCCAGAAGAAGCCGGCACACCCTAGAAGGGGAATGAAGCATCATGGATGTGAAGGCGCCAGCACACGGACTTGAGTGGACGGCTGTCCCCACTCCATACGCAATTGCCTCTGTGAGCCAAAAACATCCACGCTGGATCTGAGATGATGGAGACAAGTCAAAAGAAAGTATAAAAAAACAGGGAGAAAAACGTGGGGGCGGAGAGAGAACAAGACATTTCCCTAACTATTCTGGCTAGTCTGAAATCTTGGGGGGGGGGGGGCATTGTCAAAAGGAACTGAAAAAATGGCCCCCATATAAAACATTCTTTAGTGCAATTCCCCTTTAATGGGGACAGGGACGTGGAGTGAAACTACCCACTATAACTGACCCAAGGCAAAAAATGACAAATACACAAGTAAAAATAACTTTGTCAGACACAAGTTGGGAATATTTATTACAAAAAAATTCTTTTGAATGAGTTTCCTAAGGCACTAAGAAAACGATTTAAATTTATTTTTAAAAGAGCATGACTCGCGCACAGCTTTGGCTGCCTTACGGCAACACCTTCCAGACAGTGCCAGTGCCGATGAAGGAATGGCGGCCAGGCAGCAGCAACCAGGACACTGGCTACCGCTGCGGCTCTGCTGCTTATCTTTGCTCAGGGACTGTTTCTACCATCCTGTCAATATTCTCCAAACTGCCTCTGACCCACACAAAATGAGGGCCTGTTCTAAGGAGCAATGACACTCAAGGAAAAGTATTAGATGCACAAGACGTTTAACACCCAGACAATCCAAATCACATTTTGTTCAATTCGACTCCAGGTCAATTACAGGTTTAAAAAAAAAGTCACAAATCTTCTCTCCATCTCAGGAGATGAACTAAAAGAATGATTTAAATTCAGCTGCTTCCTCCATGTTTATACCAACGATGAAAACATAAAGCAGAATTCTAACTGATCAAGTTAGAATTTCAACTCGGTACACGTTTAACACTGCTTAATAGATACAACACATAATGTTCTCCCCTCCACTTTAAAAAATTCCAAAGTTTCAAAAATACAGAACTAAAATGAGCCCACACTGTACAGCCAGTGCAGCCGCCAGTGCCTTCCCGAACACGCCGCCACGGCACGTGGACTGGACCCCAGGATCTACGATGGAGGACCTGCTCAGGGCCAAGAAACTCACCCTCGCAGAGGAAGGGTAGCTAAAACGATTGACACAACCTTTCTCAATCACCAACAGGTGCAAGAAGCCATAGGATGAAACTTTATCACAGATGACTGCCCTTCGCTAGCACAGATACATCATGTAGAGAACAGGCAAAACTCAGAAGTACTGGCAGGCACCCTCACAGCCCAGACGCTCCCCGCAAACTGCTCAGGAGTGAGGTCTATCCTGATGGGAGAGACGGGGGTGGAGCGGTCGAGCCTGCCCAACCACAGCGTCCTGGACCTTCGTGTGGGGAGCCGACCAAAGGCAGGCGGCAAGTGTGTTTTTCCTTCAAAAACCAATTCCAGCGAACTGGTGCTGACCGGCTCCAGCACACCTGGCTGTGGCTGCCTGAGTCCTCCTGGCCCTGGGAGCTTGGCTGTCTGACTTAAACCATCCACCTGAGCGGTTTCCCCAGTAGCTCACCACCTGCTGTCTCCACCTCCCCCCTCATCCATCCTGCACAAGGAGGCTGCAGAGCCTGGCTGTGCCACCAAACCCGTCCTTGATTCTGAGGGACAGGTAACAACACCTGATATGTATGGATGCTCTAACCATGTAACACGTAACAATGCATTTTGTTTGCAAGCAATCTCTACAGTACAGACTGCATTATCACATCCCCATTTTCCAGATGAGGCACAAGTAAGTGAAGCAGCTTGTCCAGGGCTTCAAAGCTGCTGACCAAGCCAGAACCTGACCTCAGTCAGTCTAGCTGCAACCTCCCACATGTAGCCACTCTGCTCACTGCGCACCTGCGCACTGTGTGGGCACACCCAGGGCTTCAGTTCTGCTCTGCACCGAGGCGCCCAACGCCCGGGTTCCACACCGGTGTGAGTCTGCATTTTGTCTGCAGTCCTGAAATACCTACTCTCTCGAAGGGCCCGCATTTGGCAAACAGTGCTCAACTTACCACATCTTGGGCTCCGGTAGATTACTATATTCAGCATATTTTTAAAATCAAAATTGTTTCAAAAACCACTGATTCCACCTCATAAAACACACCCTCCATCTAGTAGAACCCTTGGGAAATGCAAGTTGTAGGGCTAGAGCAATTACCACATTCACAGAGTATTACTCAGAAGATTCTAAGATTCCTGAACACCTTGAATCAGCACCGTGGAGAGACTCCGAACACTGGTCACTCGAACGGGCTCGGCACTCCTCATCTCCAGCATCATGTCTCACAGACCAGGCACAGGGAGCTGGCCTCCGGCCCAGGAGGCTGCACTGACTCCTAAGTACGAATCACCCCCACACCCCCAGCTGCCCAGAAGGCTGATTTTCTGACTAAAAAGCACATTCATTCTCCTAAGGAGGGAAATGCCACTTGCCAAGGGATTTGCTCAATTTGTTCTTGTTAATCACTGCTAGAGGGGGTGTGCGCTTGGCCCCAAAGAGGCAGACTTGCAAGGAGTGACAATCAGAGAAATTTTAAGAGAATTTTATATCTAAAGCACACTCCAATGTGTAGGTATCTTCAGGTGTGCCCGCTGCACCCTTTCATGTGTCACTACATGTCGGGTCATACACATTAAACAAGTCAACCTCCTGGTTTGTCTCCAAATTCAAAATACACGGTATCCAATGTAATGGGCAAATCTATCTTTTTGGTACTTCCATTCCCCACATCAACAATATAATAAGAAATCTACACTCAAGCTTCTAATCTTTAAAGTATAAAAAGAATACGACAACACATGAACTAAAACTTAAGTGAAAGTTAAGAACATTTTGAACAAGTCAGGAAATCAGGGGCTTTTCTGAAACAGTGCTGGTACTGGCAGTGGTCAGTAAACTGTCCCTGGGCCCGAAAGACGAGAGGATAACGCACCGACGAGGCATGCACGTTCGGTGACTGAAGTTAATGTCTTTCTTATTTTACATAAAAGTTAAATGTTAAAAATCAACGTTTTCACATTTTCTTCTAAATGAGTAAGTTTGCACCCCACCTTAGAGACCCTAATTTTTTATTTTAAAAAACGAGACTTCTAATCTTTTCTAGTCCCAAACTTAGAACAACAAAACTTCCCTAACCATTTTTTCAAATACGAATGTAAATAAACTACCACCCGAGAACTACTCCGTCACCCTTCTGACCACAGGTCAGGGCCAGATGCCGCCCCCCATTTCCCGTTCCTGAACTTTGTCAGCAATGGGCTGGTAAGCAGCGGACCTATTTCAAAGCACAAAGCAAGGGTCACAAATGGAACGACACTCGCACCACAACTGAGACAAGGCACAGATACGGGTCTGCTTTCCACTGGAAGCTCTTCCTTGGCTGGACTCAAAGAGACCTGGTACCTGCGCCCAGACGACTCCCGCTCCCCGCGCGCGGTCCTGCCACCAGGCAGCGAGCGCGTGGGCAGCGGGGCCGAGCAGCAAGGAGAAGTCTCCCGCGCTCTCATAAAGAATCCTTACGAAGAACAAATGAAGTTCACTTTTGGAAATGGATAAGCCACACAACGAAAAAAACACAGAAGGGAAACAAAAAAATCAAGCACAGGAGAGATGCTGCAACGACACCGCTCTCGGTGGCTCTCCCGTGAGCGACCCCGCCACCAACACGCCTTCACCCGGGACGCACCTGCCCGCGGAGCACACACCACCTGGGCGCTACCTGACCGCCTCCTCGGGGCGACCCTGCACTTCACCCACGACTGCCTGCGTCAAACAGGCACTCGGCTGGGCCCCCTTCCACCCCCAGAAGTGGATCCCCTCCGGAGCGCAGGCCCGGACCCAGGGCCCGCACCAGCTGTTCCCGGTCCCCTCGCGAGCTGGGACAAATGACTCAGCAGCCCAACTTTTTTAACGAGTCATGCTACCTTGTTGCCCAACCCACAGAGCGAACCGCGGCGAACCACCGCCACAGCCCGAGGTGGAGAACAGCAACAGTACGCCACGCGATGCAACCCCGAAACTAGGACCCTCCGACGCGAGGCCGAGTCACTGCGCGTCTCTCCGCCGCGGTTTCTTCCATCCGAGGCAGAAGTGCCTCCGGCCGGCCCCGGCCGCGCACCCGCAGGAAGCCCGCAGGCCTCCGCCGGCCCCCGCACGACCCCGAGACGCGCCCCGGCGTGGGAGCAGACCCTCGGGAGGCCGCAGGGGCCGGTGAGAGTCGCGGACCCGCCCCGCAGGGCCCCGATCCCGGCCAGACACCCTTCTCCAACAGCAGCTTCCGCACAAAGAGTCTTTGTTCCTTTTCCCAGTCACTACCGCCGGGCCGCCCGAGCCCCCGCACCAGGCTCCCCGCACGGCTGCACCCAGCGACCGCGCCAGCCACGGCTCGCGTGGTGTCCGCCCCACGCCGCGCGCCCCGCTCCGCCGGACCGTCGCGGCGGAGCCCGGCCCGAGAGACACTCCTGCTGCCGCCCCGCGCCGCACACACCGCGCGGCGGTACCGGGAGGGGCAGGAGGACCGCGCGGAGTCCGCAGGGCCGCGGGCGGTGCTCGGAATCCCCGCGGCCAGGCCGGGCCCGGTGACCCGCAGGCGGGCTGGGCGGCGGCGCCCCAGAGCGCAGCCTCCGCCCGGTAACCACCCCGCCCGACCCGGGAGAAGGTCGGCGCCGGCCGGTCAACGACCGCAGGCCGGCGAGTCGCACCTTCCGGCGGACACTGCCACTTCCAGGAACCGGGGCCGCCACCACCCCCGCGGCCAGGCGACGCGCCCTCCGCCCGGCCACTCCGCGCCGCCGCCCCGCACAGGCCTGCAGCCCCCACCGCGCGTCGCCGCCGGGACCCTCAGGGAAAGGGCGCGGGGCGGCCGAACCACTCACCAGAGCCGAGGCGCGGCGCGGCCCGACTGACTGCGGCCAGCGAACCGGGCGGGCAGCGGTCAGGTGACTCACCGCCTCCCCGCGGCCGGCCGCCCGGTCCCTCCCCTCCCTCTCCGCCCCCTCAGCCCCCGCGGCCGCCGACACCCCCGGCGCCGGCCCCGCCCACTTCCCGAGGCCCCGCCCCCAGGGCCTCCTCGCGAGACCCCGGCCCGCCCTTCCCGCGGCGCCTAGGCCCCGCCCCCAGGCCGCCTCCCTTGACCTCGCCCCGCCCCACAGCTGCGAGGGCCAGGCCGCCTACTGCTCGCAGACCTCCGGGTGTTTGTAGCTGTGCGGACTGACGCTCACACCGAGGTCGCGGGTCGGGGACGCGCGGCGCGGGGTCGGAGTAGGACTCCGGAGGCGGTGACAGGGTCCGCTCAGTCGGCTGCTGAAAGCTCCGGCCACACGGGGAAGCCTCCTTCCCTGCTGGGGGCGGGAAGGAGGAGACCGGCAGCCCGGTCTTGTCCCCGAGGCGGGGGCGGGGCGCCCAGGTTCGCCGGAAACTGCCACCCGCAGGTGGGAGAGCGTCCCGGTGCCCGGCGTTCGGTAGCACCGCGACCCCTTGCTGAGACACAAGGTTTCCCTCCACTGAGGCTTTCCGGAGCCCATGCCAGCGTCCTGCTCTGCTTTCGTCTTCTGCCGCTTATTCACTTGGTGACAGTTTTAAAGTTACGTTTAGGAGCCACTCAGCACTTCTGCAGTCCAAAGGGTCGTGTCTCTACGAAGAGATGTGCCCGTGGCAAACTCTGAGCCACCAAGCTGACTGGGGTCTGCAGGACGTTACAAAGGGATCTGGCCCTTGACTTTGGAGTTCAGGGGGAGAAAGAGACGGGAGTGGGACGGTGGGGATTGGTGGCTGAACAGCAGCAGCTTCAGAATATTGGGACTTAGTCCTGAACACAAGAGCTCCGGGGAGGGGGTTGTGGTGGGGCCGAAGGCGACCAAGATGAGAGTCGAGGGTTATCACGAATGTAGCTGTGTTTGCACTCACAGGTTCCGACATTTGGGGACATTTGAGTTACATCCAAAATACACAAGAAAATGACATGAGTAAAATTGTATGGGGGTGCACCCGGTGGGCATCCCTGTGACCTCCATGCAGGTGGGAGGTGATGTCTGCATTGGAACTTAAGTAGAAGGAATGGGGTCCAGCAGTCCAGGGAGACGGGGGCATTCTAGGCTGCCTGCGTTCGTGGTGGGGCGCAGACATATTCAGTGAGGAAGGGGGGGGCAGCTGGGCACAGGTCCTGAAAGGACTGGAGCCTTATACACAGTGAGCTCTTGAGGCTTTATTCTCCTTCCACCCACCGGTGGCCTGTTTCTTCTAAAAGAACAGACCCTCCTTTTTGGGAGGAGTCGGGGTGTCCAACCTTTTGGCATCTCTGTGCCACACTGGAAGAAGAGTTGTCTTGGCCCATACATTAAATACATTGTGACACATAATCACAAAAATATAATGTTTTAAGTAAACTTACAATTTTCCGTTGGGCCACATGTACAGCCATCCCGGGCTGTGTGCGAGCCATGGGCCGGGTACCCCTGGGTGATGGTGGCGATACATTCTACCCGATGTGTCGTAGTGTGAGAAGTCTTACAATACCAAGGCGTTGAGAGTTAGGAGTGACTCTCAAACGTTAATGTATTCCATACCCTGGGATGCTTGTGAAATGCAGATTCCTGGGCCCTGCCAAAGAGTCTGACTTAGTAGGTCCGGTTGGGACCCAAGGATGTGCAGCTGTAGCAGTGACGCAGATGGTCTTTAGGCCACACCGGAGAGGTCCCCAGTTAGAACTCGTGTCATAAGGCCAAGGAGGAAAATGAAACTAGACAGTGAAATAAAACCAAGTCAGAACGGGAAGGGCCCCACCCACCTGCCTAGAGTTTGGACTTTATCCCATGGGCTGAATGGACGGTGTAAAGGTGTCTACATCGTGGGTTTGTTTTCACAAGCTAATTCTAGAGAGCTCAGTCCAACTCCAGTGGCCTTGGCTCCTTTTGTCTTTAAATGTTCATTCAAGAATTCAATCAACAAAATTGGGGACGGGAGGATAAAAATTAGCTTTAAACTGGTGGTGGAGGGGTGTCAAGATAGAATAAGAGTCAGTCTCACCAACTTGAAAAACAAAACGGCCGATCGACATACCTTCCTTCAAAGGTGATAGGGATTACCCCTGCCCCCAGGCCACAAGATTTTTGTACAAAGTGAACCTATTTTATTTGAACATGAAAAGGAGCAGATGGGCAAACTGGCCATTATGTTTGCCTGACACCTAAATAAAAGATAAGGTGAAGGGACTGTAGCCTCAGGCTTGAGATGTCCACAGTCTGAGATTTTTTTTTTTTTAAGCAGCAGAAAAAGGAAAGGCAGAGGACAGTGTCAGAGCAGAAGAACTCAGCAGGACGGACGTGCTGCTCAGATACCAGATTTAACAACAACCAAAGTGGCTCAACTTAGGGCCCAAATGGGGAGGTACTTCTGAATCAGCTGGAGCCACAGGGGCCGCAGGTGGCCGCAAAATTCTGTCACCGTCCCACTGAGGGGGGGAGTTTGGTTTCCACCCCTCAAATGGGTCTGGCCCTGTGACAAGAGGACAGTAGAAGGGACGCTGTGGCAGTTCTGGGTCTAGCCTTTCAGGAGACTGGCATCTTCCACTTCTTTCCCAAAACATCTGTCTTGGAACTCCCCCTCTCAGAAACTGCCACCACACAGTGAGAAGCCCGGCAGGGGAACGCCCGTCGCCTCTCCCACCGACGCCCATGACGCCCCGGAAAGCAACCAGCCATGGTCAGTGTCACATGCGTCGTGGGCATGAGCCCTCCAGGCTGTGCTCATCTAGGCGAGCTCATGCGTGACTCCAGCCCAGCCACACCCCTCAACTCAGAATCCCGACATAATAAATGATTGTCGTTTTAAGCCACTAAGTTTCAGGGTGTTTTGGTTAAAATATCTGACGATGGAATAGAGTTTGAAAATGTAATTAAATTTGTAAAAAGAACTACAACCCCCAATGATCAGGGCTTAGAGGAAAGTTCAGATAAATAAAAGAGAATATGTGAAATCACTGTGTAATTGCAAACCTGTATCGATCTCCTTGATCTGAGATGACACTTGAGACATTCCTCAGTTACAGGTTAGCTGTACCCCAGATTTCCCTCCTTTTGCTGAACTTACCCCCAGGAGATACTGGTATTGATATGGGGTCGGGGGTGTGCAGGTGGGTAGAGGCCAAAGGTGCTAACATTCTACAATGCACAGGACATCTCCACAGTTAAAACACTGTGAATAAAGATACCTTGTTCCCTACTCACAACAAAGAACTCTCTGGCCCATGGTGTCAACAAAGCCAAGGTTGAGAAAATGTACTTGCACTTCAATATGAGAAATGTGCATATAAATTGAAAGAGGGAATAAAAGAAAACAAAATAATGGAAAGAAAATACAATGGAGCCAGGAAGAAGCTAAAAATGCATGCCACAAAATACACACCTTGACAAAAGGGAGCTGCAGAACTAGCTTTAGGTCCCTAGCATCCAGGTAAAAAAGGAAACCCGGTAAGTCAGTGACAGGTGAACTGGAGGGTCAGGCTCGAGCAACCCCAGTGAGAGGAGGAGGTATTCAAACCCCAGAGAAGAAAAAGGGGTATAGGCCATGGCCCAGCCCAACAGCCCATTGCCTGGACTGAGCCGACCCATGCAGGACATGCTTTGGAAATAGCACAGTGGCTGACCTCTGACATTTGAAAGCTATAAACTCAGACCCACTGGTCAGCAGAGATTCGCATGCTACCATAAAGAACAAGACCCATCCCCCGGGGAGGCTGCATTTGCACCCCAGCCACTGCGGAGTCCCTGGCCAGCCCTTCCTGCTCTGCATGGGGCCACTCGAGGCAGGCTTCTAGGCCCAGCGTGGACGGTTTTTCCTGTTCCGTCACTTGGGGTGTATTGGAGTGATGGGAGGTGTCAGCGGACCACAGCTGTCACCCTGCCCAGTCACAGGTTGGCTGTGGCTACGCTGGTCTATCAAGGACCCCAGCTCCTTCGAGAGACCTCCACCAGCAACACTGGGGTCAGCCCCAGGGCAGCGCCCTCACCCCGCCAAGTGGCCCACATGCTACCTGCCGGTTCCCTGGCTGATCGACCAGGTCAAGACTTGGGGGTGACCAGAGTGAACATATTAGCACATGTGAGGTTAGAACAGGGCTGTTCATCAACGTCTGAGGCCTATGAAGTCAGTCAGAGACACCAACCCAAGCAAGGCGTGCCTGGCACTGCCCAGGGGTGAAGGCGCCTTGGCTGAGGGCGTAGCGTTTTGCTCCCAGTGCCCTGACCTGCAGGATGTGAGGGGAGCCACAGCCTTCTGTGGCTCAGTTCCACCAGATGCGCCCCCCACCCCACCGCTCACGTCCCTCTCCTCTGGCTTCATGCTTGCATTGGCCCCCGGGGAGACATCATTCGGGGCCTGGGCACTGGCGTTTGGTGCACCTGCCGGCAGTATTCACAGGGTAAACTGATACGTTATGTTTGCACACTCTGCCTGCCTCTGCAGCCTCCGGTGCACACGCATCCGAAAGATGGGGCGCCATGGATGTGCCCACAGCTGTCTCTGTCCCTGCGAGTTCGAGGTGAGCTCGATGGGTACCGCCCGAGGTGGCTGGTCTGGGTGGCGCCCACTTCACAGACTGTCCATTGTGACAGCAGGGACTTCCCTCTTCCTAGATCCCCTTTTGACAGACTGCTCATTGGCGACCGCATGTCCATTCCCCCTGTTCCTTTCTCGCATAAAACACCCCCTCCTCCTCCCTTCGCCATGTGACCTGGTTCTGGTCAACCAGATGTAGCAAATATGCCCTTCATGGAACTTCCAGGGAAGCTGTGCCTTTCCTGATTAAAAAAAGACCAAATCCGCTGCCGCGAGTGCTTGCTCTCTGCCCTCTCGCCTGGAATGAGGGGAGGTGGAGTGCTCTCCTCTCAGCCCTGGGCTGGAAGCAGAGGCTGGCCGCAGAGCAGCCGGCCACCCCTCAGGGC